ACCGTCCACACGGGTATGGCCCTGTCCCACCCGCCTGAGGCACCTGTCCCCCCTCTCTCTGACGTTGTGGAAGGGAAAGAGAGCCACGGTGGCCCCAGGAAGGGCAGTTAGCTTTGAAGTCCAGGGCCCAGGGGCAGGATGGGGAGAGGACTTTGGAGAAAGCAGTGTGGGGCTTGGTGCCCGGCCGCAGGGAGCAGACGCTGTCCTGGCCTGAGCATGGGCCCAGCCCAGTCGTGTCTTTCCTTAGTGACTTGTCCACACCCTGTATTCTTTGTCTGTCCTCTGAGATGCTCTGTCCTGCTTCGCCTTTGCTGGGGCTAGAAGTATTAATCCTGCTGGACAGGGGAAGAAACCTAGGCTGAGAGAGGCAAAGTTGGTTTTTATAAAGCCAGAAAAACACTAAAGGCCTCTTGATCCCCTCTGAGGACTCGTTCCTTATCGACTCGCATTCTTTACCAGGTAGCTTCCAGTAACCTAATTGCTGTCCAAAGTTGACTCTTGGTATTTTAAATGGATCCATTATCCCAGAAACTTTCCATGAAGGAAGGCTCAGTCCTTCTGTTGGTTTCCTCTGTCTGGGAATCTGCTCCAGCTCAGGCCCCACCTCTCTTGCAAATGGAATCTAGCTGTAGTTGCCATAAGTGGAAAAGCATGTTTGTTCTAGAAGAAACTAGAGCAGCCTGATTGTATCTCTCTGGGGAGTGGGGTGATGGCCGAATCAGTCTCACCCAAGGCAAGAGCTGGAAGAGCCTCCCCAGGTCATCTGAATTCACCCCTCAGCCCCCAGAGAGGGAAACCGAGGCCCAGAGAAGGAGAGTGGCTTGTCCAAGTCCCACAGTTGGGCACCCCTAACGACAAGCCCTGGTCCTGAAACCTCCCTGCCTGCCCCACACCTGATGCGGCTTCCCTGCTGTGCTGCTGTGTGTGGGAGAGAGGGGTGGCAGGCCGGGGGGCAGGCCCTGGCACCTCTCTCTGATGTCTTCTAAGGGAAAAAGAGCCAGCGTGGCCCCAGAAGGGCAGCTTGCTCTGAAACCCGGGACTCAGGGACCACGGAGACCTCCGCTGAATATAGCTTTCCTTTTTTCCTTCTCTGGGTAACAGGCGAGAAACCCTATCGTTGTAACATCTGCGGGGCCCAGTTCAACCGGCCAGCCAACCTGAAAACCCACACCCGGATTCACTCCGGAGAGAAGCCCTACAAATGCGAAACGTGTGGAGCCAGATTTGTGCAGGTGAGCCAGGGCTGCAGGGAGAGGCCCCCACTTCAGGGTGTGGATGGGGCCCAGGCGGCCCGGCAGCCCTCCCCGGCACAGCCCCTCACTGTGCTCTGCGCGCTTGCCTGCAGGTGGCCCACCTCCGTGCCCACGTGCTCATCCACACTGGCGAGAAGCCCTACCCCTGTGAAATCTGTGGCACCCGCTTCCGGCACCTTCAGACTCTGAAGAGTCACCTGCGAATCCACACGGGAGAGAAGCCTTACCATGTACGTGAGCTTCTGGTGGCTGCTGGCTGCCTAAGGGGGCAGGGAGGTGGAGGGTGGGGCAGCAGACCTGTCTGCTCCAGTCTCAGGAACGCAGCACGATGACCCCTGAACTCTAGTGGTCATAAGGCCTGGATTTGGGCCTGATTTTCAAAGACATCTGGCTTGACCTTGAACTGAGTCTCAGTTTGTATGTCTTTAAAGTGGGGATAATGGAGTAGATGGTCTGGGCCTTAGGAAAGAGGTCTGGACTATAGATACATAGATAGTGGAATCATTCATTCATTCCACAAACTTATTTATTGAGTGTTTACAACATGCCCCTAAACTGGGCTGGATGTCTGTTTACCTAAGAGGAGCTCAGGTATTTGAGAAGCAGCAGTCATAGAAAAGGAGTGGGGGGACCAGAGGAATGTGGTGATAAAAGGGGGAGAAAAAAAATCAAAATAGAGAAAAGGCCATTTCAAGGAGCAGGCAGCCAGCAGCAAGAGGCCGGGATGTGGCCGTTGGAATCATAGGGTTTTATGGCAGGGTCTCCGCCAACTATGGCCTGTGGGCTAATTTTTGAAATTCTGTGAGCCAAGAATGGTTTTGATATTTTTAAATGGCTAAAAAGAATCAAAAGAATACTATCCTATGACTTGCAAATGATGTAAAATTTAAATTTCAACGTCCACAAATAAGGTCTTGCTTGCACGCAGCCTCTCACTTGTTTACGTATTGTCTCCGGCTGCTTCCAGGCTACAGCGCAGAGCTGAGCAGCGTGTCCGAGAGTGTCAGGCCCACAAGGCGTAAAACATCTGTTGTCTGGCTCTTTGCAGAAACACTTTGCCGATCTCTGCTGTCGAGGGGAAAAATGCTGGCCAGGCAGCTGGGGTATCTGCGTTCTTATTCTGACTTTGACCCTTTTTAGGGCCGTGGGCAAACCCTGACCTTCTCACTGGGCCACAGTGGTCTCTCTCTGTGAAACCGTGAGGATGCTGTGGATGAACAGTTTTCAAACTGAGCATCATTTGGGTTCTGCAGCCCCGCAGGGCAGGACTGGAAGCCTCTTTCCCTTTCCAGTTTCCATTTAATTGAAAAAAGAGTCCATGGCTTACAAGTGTGGAAACTACTGTCACAGGCAATGCTGACTTTGATGAGTTTATGGCATCTCTCTGGGTAGCGAGGAGCACACATATAACCCACATCACAAGTGTTAACCTGAAAAGGTGGTTATTTTTATTCACTTGTTTATCAGTCTTTGAGTATCTTGTTACTTGCTGTTTGTTCTTGGGCAAATTGGTTATCTTCTCAGGACCTTAGTTCCTCCTCTGTAAAATGAGCCTGATAATAGCACCTACCTCCTAGAGTTGTATGAAGTTAATGGATTCCCTAAAGTGTTCTGAACAGTGCTTGGACATCACAAGAGGCCAGTTCACGTTTGCTTTATAATGATTTGTTAGACGTTTAGATGAGCAATATGTAAGAATGAGGAGCGACCTCCGGAGAATGTTGACATAGTCCCTGGCGGAAGGGGAAGCCAGGGCTCAGAGGGAAATGCCCTGCTCAGAACGGACACACAGCAGCAGGGGGGATAGATGGAGGAGGGGGGCATGTCTCCCAAGATCAGGGCTCCTTCTAGTCACTGTCCTGTCATTTTACTTTTTTATTTTCCTAAATTTATTTCCATTTTTATATGAAAACATATTCTCTATATGAACTTATTTTGTTACACTTTTGTTAGAGAGCAGTTTTAGATGTACAGAGACGTTTCAGAGAGAATACAGAGCGTTCCCATATGCACGTCCCCTGTTGCTAACATCTTACCAGTAGGGTACATTCAGCACAACTAATGAACCCATAAGGGTACATGATTATTAACTAAAGTCCACACTTTATTTGGATTTTCTTAGTTTTTACCTAAAATGGCGTTTTCTGTTCCAGGCTTGCCTTCAGATTACCCCGTGATGTATAGTCATCCATTTCACTTTTAAGTAACTTTCCCACTGAAATTATCGTCCATGCATTGAATCAAAGGGAGAAACAGCTCTACTTGCTGATACTTTGTTACCTTATCTAAGTTAAAGGAATGTAAATGCATTATTTTAAAGCATGTCCAAAACTCAAGAATTTTCATGAATTCAGACCGCTCTAATCCATTTGTCCAGATATTTTCAGATTTATTGCATAATTGCCTAAGAGGTATTTTCTATATTTTGGGAAGATTATAAGTTTAGTAAGAAGTAGTTACCACCATCAAAGCATTCCCCACCTAAGAAGGACTCTAATTCATGAGACGGCAAGGCTCTCTGGCATTACCCGGCAAGGCCAGAAATCTTACAGAGGTCAAAGGAAAAAGGGATTGTCTTCATCCTAGAGAGATGCAGAAAAGCCTTAATAATTAGGGAAGTGTGCATATGAACTGTGTTTTGGGGTAAGACTTGAACTTGTGGAGCTAAAGCAGGGAAATGCATCTCAAGCAAGGGAAAGTGCATGAGCAACACTTTGGAAAGCAGGGAAAGGACATTTGCAGAAAGCTTACTTGTCTCTTAGCAGAAGCCAGGACTCATGTGGGTTCTCAACCTGGCCTTCCAGAAGGAAGAGCTGCCCCCTTCCTCGAAGGGAGACGCTCCTTCTCAAGGTCCTTGAGTCATGTCTGTTTCCTGGGTTGATGACTAACGGTGTGCTTCTGGTTCTCCTTCAGTGCGAGAAGTGCAACCTGCATTTCCGTCACAAAAGCCAGCTGCGTCTTCACTTGCGCCAGAAGCACGGGGCCATCACCAACACCAAGGTGCAGTACCGCGTGTCCGCCACTGACCTGCCCCCGGAGCTCCCCAAAGCCTGCTGAAGCACGGAGTGTTGATGCTTTCGAGCCCCTTCTCAGAATCTACCCAAAGGATACTGTAACACTTTACAATGTTCATCCCATGATATAGTGCCTCTTTCATCCACTAGTGCAAATCATAGCTGGGGGTGGGGGTGGGGGGAGGGGGCCGGGGGGCCAGGGAGCCCAGGCAGCTCCCCTTCCCCCGCTGCCGTAAAACATTAAGAAAATAATATTGCTTCTTCTCCTATGTGTAAGGCGCACCATGTCAGCAAAAAGCAAAATCATTTTATATATCAAAGCGGGGGAGTATGCAAAAGTCATGACTTAACTTGGTCTGCAAAATGAGGAATGTATATGTTTTGTGGGATCACATGTTTCTTTTGTATGTAAATGTGCATTCTTTTAAAAGAAGAGACTTCGGTATGTTATCAAAGAGAGGGCTTTAATTTTTTTAACCAAAGGTGAAGGAATATATGGCAGAGTGTAAATATATAAATATATATATATATATAAAATAAATATATATAAACCTAAAAAAGATATATTAAAAATATAAAACTGCGTTAAAGGCTCGATTTTGTATCTGCAGGCAGACACGGATCTGAGAATCTTTATTGAGAAAGAGCACTTAAGAGAATATTTTAAGTATTGCATCTGTATAAGTAAGAAAATATTTTGTCTAAAATGCCTCAGTGTATTTGTATTTTTTTGCAAGTGAAGGTTTACAATTTACAAAGTGTGTATTAAAAAAAAAAGAACAAAAAAAGCTGCGGAAGGAAAAATGTGTAGTTTTGTTCTAGTTTTCGGTTTGTATATACCTGTACAACGTGTCCTACGGTGCCTTTTACCATGGAAGTTTTCAACTGGGGACGAACGTGCCATCCCTTTTTGAAGTGTAGGCAGACACAGGGACTTGGAGTTGTCACTAACTGAGCTCTCTTTGGGAATGTTTGTCTCATCACATTCTGCGTCATGCTTGTGTTATAACTACTCCGGAGACAGGGTTTGGCTGTGTCTAAACTGCATTACCGCGTTGTAAAATATAGCTGTACAAATACAAGAATAAAATGTTGAAAAGTCAAGTCGGCTCATTCCAGGGGTCTTTCCTTGTGCCGGAATCGGGACTTGAAAGGGTCTGATTCCCCAGCTTTTCCCCTGGTGGGAGGTGCTCGTGGAGTGCAGCGGCTGATGGCTCGGGGGTCTCTTGGCTGGGGTTTGCTCCTGGTAGCTGGGCAGGGACCCACCTTTGGCTCCTGGCGCCAGGATGGACCACAGACTCCAGATTCTGGTCAGGAGGGGCTCGGGCAGGGGCTTTTGGATGGACCTCTCACCTCTGTTTCTGGCTCCTCTTTCTGTGTTTTCACTCAGAGCTCTAGGCTGAGCGTTAAATAAAAGACCTCAGTTTTAGCCCTTCTGACACCAGTGTATGAGTCCTCACCTCCTCTAAGCCTTGGAGAATTTGTCCATTCTGTGAAGCAGGAAGGCTCATCTTGTCTCCTGGTTTCATAAATAATTTCCCTCTGCCGGGATCCAGTGTGAAGGCATCTGCTCTGGTTCATGCATCTCTCAGCCTTGGTGCTTCAGAGACTGCTCTCTGCTGGGTGATGGACAGACGTCTACAGACTCAGAAGCTTTCTGAATTGCTACTAGCCAAGCCAGCCTCCGTCCTAGCAGAAGTGTTCTTTGTCCCCAGAACTCAGTGGTGCAATCAGCCATCTTCTCCTGTGTGACTTAGGGCAGCGTTTCCCCTCTGGGTCCCCCTCCCACCCTGTCCCTGAGGGGTTGGATTAACTAGACCATTTATGATTCCATGAATCAGACCTAAGTTCACTCTATGGCTTTGGCACCCAGATTTATTTTACCTCGAAAAACCTGAGGGACCAAGTTTGATTGACAGGGACTAAGAGAAGAGAGGTTAAGTTTGGTCCTGGCCCTTGGCCCAGGGGAGAAAGTCCCCACCCACCTCTTCCCGTTTCTGGGTGGCAGAGGGGCGGGGACAGGAAGCAGAACCTTTCCCGGGCCGTCGGGCCACTGGCTGGACAGTGGTGTCACTTGGCAGTGCCCCCGCAGCAGGCTTGGAGCACGTGCGGGGAAGCCAGCAGGAGCTGACCACGCAGCCCCAGAGACAGCCTCACAAAGTGACACCACCCTCTGCCAGCCACACGGCCTTCCGGCTCAGGTTTCCTCTGAAAACTACTTTAAAGAACCTGCCAGCTCGAAGCCTCAGCTCACCTTGCTCTTTGAAAAGGGAGAAAATGATCCCTGGGCTCCCATAGAAACTTGGCCGAAGAGCTTACAAAACAGGCAGCTTCAGGAATGACAATTCACAGGCCCAAGGGAGGCCTGCGCAGGCCGCTTTGCTGCCCAAGGGCCTCGGACTGTGCTTACATGTCACCACTGTCTAACGGAGGGACGAGGGGGGCTGAGACAGACAGTGAGGGTGGCATTCGAGTTCCAATGAAAGGGAAGATCAAAGAGTAACTGCGGCCAATGGCGATCAATGGTAAGTAAGGCAAACGTCTCTAAACAGATAAGCTAGGGCAAAGGGAATGTAGAGTTTTTATTGTAAAAGCGTGACACGAACGCTACTTTTAGAAAATGCGTAACTTAAAAAACAGGGTGTGTGATGTTCTTCTCTATGTTGTGAGATTTCTTAGGGGAAAGATTTTTAAGGACCAGAGTAGCGGCTGGAGGATGGACCCAGAGAGGCGGGTTGACTAGAACCAACTCAGGAGCTGGAAGGGATGGAAGGTGGTAAGGATCACCTAGTTCAAGCCTGTCCTCGACCCATGAAAGGACTGAGGCAGGAGATGGGGAGGAACTTGGCTGCTGTCGCCCAGTACCCTGGGACAGAGAGTGCAGGGCCGTGTCCTGCCCCTGACCCCACCCTGAGGGAAGGAAGGACAGACACAAACGCTCCCATTTCAGAAATGAAGAAACTGAGGGGGGACTTGTCCAAGGTCACACAGCTCAGAAGTGGTCGACTAATCTGAGTTCACACAACCGGTTGTTGCTAGAACATCAATCATTTTCTTTTTGGGGGGAAAAATGAGCTATTCCGTTTGGAATCTGGGTTCGCATTCCTCTCTCTGCATCACTCATAGTAATAGTTTTATTAAACGGTGGTGATGACATCTTATGATTTTCAAAGCACCTTCCAGCACAATGTTCTATGCAGCCTGCCATGGGTTGGGGGATTCCGGTCTCTGATCTCTAGACCATTCCATCCCACTGACAACCACTTCGGTCACGTCTCTGCCTCCCCTCGGACATCACCCACCACACGTGGTCTGGTCTGTGTGAGTCCCTGTTTCCTGGGACCAGAGAGCACAATTTACCCAGGCGCCCAGTTTTGAGGTGTCTACCAACAGGAAGACTCTTAAATACTCTTAGATTGGGTTCAGTGTTCTCAGCAGTGGAGGCTGAGGCATGCTGTGATCCATCTGAGGTAAAATACAAAGAGTAGTTTACCCAGCGTACTGTAACCGCTTGGAAAGACAGTGCTTCTCCTAGCTGCCAAGGCCGTGACAGGAGCCCAGCCCTGGGTGAGTGCATGCGACATAGTACCCAGGGCCACACACCTTCACTGAAGGAGGAAAGAGTGTCAGCATCACTAAGGAGGTGGCCTTCTAAAAAGGGAGACACGGACGCAGGGGGGCTGTGGAGTCTGGGAAGGGCACCTGGAGGGGCTCAGAGCCCCTGAAGGACTGTGTTACTTCTAAGTCCTTGGGGTCTTGCCTTCTTATTAAACGAGTCTGACTCATTTAACCGCAAGGGACTGGCTGCTCAGCACATCTGAGAGATGAGCTTCCTGGGTCTCTCCCTCTCATGTGCACTTGAAACAAGCATGCTTAGAGTCTGAGTCACAGACTACTGTGACTGGAGGGGCCTTAGTGATTCTGATCTTAGTCTGCAGGTGAAGAAACCAGGCCCCAAGGGGAAAGGAGACAAGTCTAAGGTCATATCGAGAGTTTTTATCAAAGAGGTATCCTGACTCCCAGGCGGTTTGTAACATGGTCCCAGCCTTCGGGGAGTGTGCAGTCACGTTGGGAAGATAAAACATGGACATATATAGAAGTAAAATCACAAAGAGACAAAGAGACATACCCTTGTGGCTAATGAATGATGCTCTGGAGAGTTCAGGGGCTTTGAGGAAAAGGATGCTCAGAATGGCAAACAGCTGCTTCAGGGCAGCACAGGGTGGCTGGCCAGCTGGGCAGGTGGCTGGGTGGAAGTACTCTCAGGACTTTTAAGCATCTGCCTCCTTTCTGTGGGACTGTAGTGCCTCCCTCGGTCTGGAAAGAGCTGTCCTCCTTGATGTCCCCAATAGAAGCCATCTCTGGAGGTGGTTTAGTTTGCGAGGGCTGCCTTAGCAGAGCACTGCAAGCTGAGTGGCTCAGACAACAGAAATGCGTTGTCTCCCAGTCCTGGAGGCTAGGACTCTGAGATCCAGGTGCTGGCAGGGTGGGTTCCTTCTGGGAGCTGGGAGGAAGGATCTGCTCTTAGGGCTGTCCTCTAGCTGCCGGCAGTCAGTTGGCCCTCCTTGGTATGCCTTTGCTTTTAGAAGCATCCCCTTGACCTCTGTCTTCATCCTCACTCGGTGTTCTCCCTCTGGGTGTGTCTCTGCATCCAAATTTCCCCTTTTGTCTATAGATAGCAATCATATGGGAGCAGGGTCCATCCACCCTAATGATCTCATCTTAACTAATTACATCTGCCATAACCCTATTTCCAAGTCAGGTCACATTCTGAGGTGCTGGGGTTAGGATTTCAATGGAAGAATTTGGAGGAGGAACACGGTTCAGCCCGTGACGGGACTGTTTGTAGGGGGAGTGGTGAGATGCTCTTGGCAGTGGCCGCCCTCACCTCATCCTTGCATGTGCTCCCGCAGTTTGAGGTGAAGGAAGTGAGATTTGGAGGGCCTCCTCAACTCCAGCCACCGGGCGTGCCATCCTGGCCTCAGTCACGTTCCAGCCACCCACTGTGGGGGATTTGCCTGACCTCTCCCAGATGAAGAAGCGAGGTCACACTGCCACACAGAGCCTCAGCTCTTTCCAAACCCTCTAACTAGCTGTGTCTTTCTTATCAATGGTGGGTCTCCCCTCAGAAGAGCACTGGGGGCAAATTATCTATGCTCGACAAGCAACCACACTTTCATCGTGTGGAACGGAGAAAAGTCTAGATCCACGTACTTCTCTGTGGAATAAGAATCACCAAGAACCATTACAGGTTTGATAAAAGCCCCTGAACAAGAACAGGGGGCCATTATAGTTACTGGTATTTTGAAAAGTCATGGAGATTTGTGCTGACCCTGGTGATGGTCTGACCCTGCAGCTCTCTGTCACAGGAGCATTTAGAAGTACTTCTGCCTGCTCCCCCGGTGACACTCGTGCAGCCAGAGGTGAGAATCTCTTACTCTAATCCAGCCCCTTCATCATACATAAAAGGAAGCCATGTGACATTAAGCAAAGGTTCTAGAAGTATTAGCACACAGCTCTCCAAATACCTAAGCCAGTTTTCTGCACTCTAAGTGATTGTTTTCTTCATATGTCATCCTATATGGAATCACTTCTTTGGTATGACCCTAGGGGAGCAAAACTTGGGCCAATGGGAAGAATTATAAAAAGGCAAAGCTGAGCTGGATAAAATGAAAGATTTCCGTTGATGTCTAAGGAAGGAATGGGCTTTGGATCGGCTGCTGGGCTCACCCCTCAGGTGATTAAGCAGAAGATGCACAGTGAGTTGGAATCAGTGTTGACTTGGGGCGACAGTTAGGCTAAATGACTCTAAGGTCCCTCTCAAGCTTGAGATGTTCTAAGACCCCATCCCATTTAGAAACTGGTTTCGACCGCGGGGAGAGGTCAGGAGTACAGGTCTGCTATGAATATCAAGAGAGAAGGGCATGATCATGCAAGTCTGGGGCCATTTTGTGTAGAGCTGGGCAGCTCCCGTAGCCCTAAACTGAGCTGATTCGAGGGGCGGCTGGTGTCCATCTCTTTCTTCCCAGCCCACCTGGCTTCGGCTTTCACACACATCATTTTCTGAGGGTGGGACTATCCCTCATCTCCCACTGTTCCTACCT